TGGGGAGGGGAGGGGAGAATCCTCCTACCTGCATTGGATGTTCAACCACTGTTAATCCTCCATTATAAAGAACTGAGGCTCCAGGAGATGAAGACAAGGCCATGGGAATGTCTAGGAGTGAAAAAAACCAGCAAGGGAATAATTTGCTATCAAACATCCTAAGGATCTTCTTGAGCATACAGTGCAGGAAGCTGATTTTAGCCTATTTCTAGGCTAACTAGGGAACCCCTTTATGTGAGTCCTTTGCAGCCACAACAACAACTACACAGAAACTCACCCTGGGTGAGGGGAAAAGGGAAAGGTGAGGAAGGACCAAGGATTGGATTCAGAGGCAGCTTTCTCTGCCATGAATTTATGCATCAAAGGACCAACTCTGTTATTCTATGTTTCTATGATATTCACCTTTCCTTATCAGATAATCAAGGAAGAAAGACTACAAAACCTTTTTTTCACAGCTGGGATTTGCCTTTTGGAATAGCCAACAGCAGAAGTCGGGAACTATGGGCCTTTTATGGGGGTGGACTTCAACTCCCAGAATCCCTCAGCCAAGTGGAATTATGGGAGTTGAAGTCCACCTGTCATAAAAGGGCCTTAGTTCCCCACCCTGGACGACGTCAATGTTTATCAACCTTGGCAGCTGTAAGATATGTAGATTTAAACACATATGGGGAATTTTGGGAGTTGAAGCCCACACATCATAAAGTTGTCCAAAGGAAAAGTGATACCTTTTTAAATGCACACAAGACTTTAAAAACGCAGTTAAATTGAACAATGAAAACGAATCCAGGTTTGAAAGAAACGAGGCAAAAAGATTAAAGGGCATCAGAAGGATCCTTTACCCGATGCTCTCTCCGGAGGAGGCTCGTCCAGAGCAACTCCCCGAAACAACAGCACCTGGGAGGGATCGCCCACTTTTCTGCCCGCCGGTTTCGCAGCCATTGAACTCCAAGCCTCCTGGATCTGAAAAGGAAGTGACGGGAAAAAATCATCATCTCCCGAAGGATAAAATGGGGACTGCAGGAACGATCGTAGCAGCACCCCAATGGGCTGCATTGAAGGGTCTCCTATCCGAGCATTTCCCAGGAAGGAAGGAGAAGGAAGAAAGGAGGAGCTTTTTACCTTGCTCTCAATGGGAAACGTGGGGCTCTCTTCCTCGCCCGGACTCCGCTTCCCAAGAGATGCGCGCAGGAAAAGATCCGTGATCGCCGGCGGCCACGCTTGTGGACCCGGCCTCCCTCCCCGGAACGACCCCAGCCAGGCCTTTGCTGGAAGCGCTTATAGCTTCTACCGTCCCCGTGCAGCTCCTCCCGTTCTCTAAAGGCGCCGCCCACTCAGGGGTTCACCTGCCTGCGCCCTACCTTCTGCCACAGGGGAATCGGTCCTGCGTGGGATGGTGAACTGGGCAGCGAGTCTAGAACTGCTTCGCTCCAGGCACTCAGAGAAACGGGAGAGAGGGAGGGAACAAGCTCAGGGATGGGAGGGAAAGGGATGTGCAGAGTTGGCAGGAAAAGGAGCCTCTCTCATCCACTTAGCATAGTCCTCAACTATGCTATTCCCTTAAATGATTAACATTCATGATTGTACCGTAATAACAAATAATCAATGGCTGCATTACAAGTAGTCCTCGACTTACAACCATTTGATTAGTGGCCGAAGCTACAAAGACACTGAAAAAAAAAACATGTCTATTTTTCATAATAAAGACCAATGCAGCATCCCCATGGTCATGTGATCAAAATTCATTCCCTTGTCAACTGGTTCATATTTATGACAGTTGCCATGTCCCAGGTTCATGTGACACTTTGGACAAGCAAAGTCAATGGGGAAGCCAACTTTGGGGTGAACTGTGGTTGAAAGTCGAGGACAACCTGTGTTTGAAGTGTTGAAAGGATGTGTCTGAGAGCAATATGACTTTGGAGATGTATTAGGCAACCATCATTCAGTCCAAAATGTCTTCCCTCAAAAGAGAAGAATAAAGATAAGTGGGGAAAACAACAAAAGCTGCTTTTTTTTGCTATTATCCCCACTAAATGCAGAGTCAAAAGACCCCTTAATGCTCCATAAGAGAATCCCATCAACCATTCCATTCTGAAGAGGAAGAAAATCTCTCAGGAAATATTTCATATTTAACCATTGAAAAGGCCTGAGCTCAGAAAGATGTAATCCCTCCATTAAAGTAGATGAAGTTGCACAGTACATGTAGTCCTCATCTTACTACCATTCATTTAGTGACCGTTTGAAGTTTCAATGGCACTAAAAAAAGGTAACTTACAACCTCTTTTCACACTTACGACTGTTGCAACATCCCCATGGTCATATGATCCAAATTCAGATACCTGGGAATTGAATCACATTTATGACCATTGTAGTGTCCAGGGGTCACATGATCACCTCTTGCCATCTTCCCAAATGTCTCCCTTAACAACACAAATTTGAGGCTCACGTGCAGTCGTAAGTTGAGGACTACCTTATTTCTCCTATAGTAAAACAGCTCCTAGCCTATCAGAGCATGCTTGAAGTCTGCAGAGAGAAGGTTCCTGGCGTATTCCCCATTTTCTCCTCAAGAATTGCACTTCCAAAGTGGTTGAAAAAGGGAAGGAGATTCTTCTGGACTCCAAGGGACTTTTGGTTTTCCTTACCTTTCCTGCTCCAGCCCCCTTACCAAATGTGCCCATGCCTCCAATTGAACATATTGGGTTGCTCTTGCCATCTGGTTGAAAGATGGAAAGAGATCCTCAAACTGAACACATCGAAGAGAAAATTGTAAGCAAAAACTTTATTGTGCCGAAAAAATAACACAAGGAAATCTCCCTCAAAGCCTTTGTATCCCACCGACATTCACTGGAGGGTTTTACACAGCATTTGCCACACAGTTTACAAGGAATTTTCTCATCTCCCTTTGCAGTAATTCCTGACTATTTTACACTAACATCTTAGCCTTCCCGCATACATGTAATCAGCCAAGCTATTTAAAGCTATCTTAACCTGTATACACAGAAACCTCAACACTTCCATAAAGATTGCTTAGTTTCCCATGATACTTCCTGTTTTTCAAACAGCATACTGAGTTGTATAGGTGCAAATCGTTCCTATTTGTGTATTTTGCCTTGTCTCATAGTCCTTTTGGGATTCTGAAGCACTTATGCCTTTATTTTATGTTTACCCTGTTAACTGAATCTCCATGGATCCTTCTGTTTAGACCAGGGATGGAGAACCTTGGCTCTTTTATGATTTGTGGACTTTAACTTCTAGAATTTGAGGTGGTTGAGAAAAAATGCTGTAGTCCAGTGGTTGGGAACTAAGGCCCATTTATGACTTGTGGACTTCAACTTCCAAAATTCCTGAGCCAGGAGTCTACAAGTCAAAAAAGGAGCAAAAATCACCATCCGGATTAGACTCTGACCTTCCAATTGCTGGAGGCCATACTGTGCATTTGGCCTTTTTCCCTGGGAAAACTGAGCCTTTCGAAGGAATCCTAGGACTCTTCGCCATATTTCCCCTTTTGAGATTATAACTTTTATTGTGAATATTCAGATGTCTCATTACGCTTGCAATCCTTTTCTTGAAGAGCAATGAAATATTGACTGTAATCCTTTCTCCATTTTCAATGCATTGGACACCTAAAGACTTTTCAGTAGGAAGGCACTAGAAACAACAACATAATTCCATAAGTCTAGGCCAGGGGGTTCCAAACTTGGCAACTTTAAGCCTTGTAGACGTCAACTCCCAAAATCCCCCAGCCATGTGCTAGAGGAAATCTGGGAGTTGACATCAACAAGTCTTAAAGTTGCCAAGTTTGGAGATCTCTAGTCAAGGCCCTGATGGATTTTGATGTTAAGAAATTCCTTCCCTATATTTTCCAAGGTGGGTTTCAATGAATTGGCAATTGTCAGTTATACTGAAACAACACATTCTTAACATTCATGATTGTGCCTTAAAAACAAATAATCAATTGCTGCTTTACAATTAGTCCTCAACTTACAATCATTTCTTCAGTGACCATTTAAAGTTATGACGACACTGAAAAAAATGATTTATGATTTTTTTCATACAAATGTTGCAGCATCCCTATACCATGTGATCAAAATTCAGACACTTTGCAACTGGCCTGTATTTTTGATGGTTGGAGCATCCCAGGGTCATTTGATCGCCATATGAAACTTTCCGACAAGCAAAGTCAATGGGGGAAACTGATTCACTTAACAACCATGTTACTAACTGAACAACTGTGGCAAAACAAGTTGTATAATGGAACAAAACTGTCCTGCTTAGCCATGGAAATTTTGGGCTTGTGGCCATAAGTCAAGGGCCACCTGTATTTTCTAAAATGGTTCCTATAATTGTCCAATTTACCAACCCAAAAGAATCTATATCTGAAATGTATGCGCTAAACTTTAACTACTGTATAAGTTAGGGCATTAATAAAAATCAAGCACAATAAATATTGTATCTCAGACTAGAAATTGGTTAAACACAACTAATGTTAGTTGGTGCAGACACAGCACTATCCTTTCAATTATCACTTTTGACAAAATTCTCGAGTCTCATAATGGTTCAATAGTTCATTCTCTCCCATCACTTTGTCCCATTGATGTGCTCACTATTTTTCTTTGTTCTGGCATGATTTCTTCACATGGCTGTAGTAGATCCGCTAGTTGATCCTTCCAACGTTAGGGAAATATGAATAGTTAACACCACCAGGTCTGGACTCACCACTTAGATTACAATGTTTCTTCTTGAAATATTTCAGCATCTTCTTTATACTCTAAGCCAGCTTTCTGCACCCTAAGGTTGTCTGAATGTCTTATCCCAAAGGTGTTTTTATCAAAAGGCAACTGGACTTTGTTTTTCCTTGAAGACATTTCGCTTCTCCTTCAAGAAGAAGCAGAACTGAAGAAACATCTTGATAAGAAGGGAAATTTCTTCAGGGGAAATGATAAAAGCACCTTTGGGACAAACACAACCTGGATGACTGAGAAACTCCATAGACATTTGGATGTGTTACTTTCCAAATCCCTACTTAACTTTGCTGTTCACACTGACAAAAGTTGATTGCTTGTTCTATGTTATGTACACTGAGAGCGTATCCAATGGAGACACATTCCATGTATCTCCAATCACACTTGGCCAATGAGATCATTCCATTCCATTCCCTTCCCATTCCCATTTCTATATTCTATTCCATTTCTATTCTTATTATTTCCAATCTTATTCTACTCTACTCTACCAAAAAGATCTAATATCCAAAACTTAATACCTAGTTCTACAAGAGAATTCTTTTTAATGAATCAAGATGTTTCTGCTGCTTCGGAAGACCTTGCCATACTCCACGCATTTCTACATATTCTCCTGGGATACCTCTATGGGCATGAATCAAATTTTGAGAATCAACATGAACCGATTCATATCATTTTTTTCCTGCTGTGAGTCCTCTTATGGCAATTAAGGTCACTCCAACTTCTGAATTTCTTTCCACACTCCACACACTGATACGGCTTCTCCCCCGTGTGGATTGTTTTATGGAGCTTAAGATTCCTGCCATCTTTGAAACTCTTTCCACAGTCGATGCATTTAAACGGTTTCTCTCCTGTGTGGATCCTATTGTGGGAGGTAAGCTGACCACTCTCTCTATAACATTTTCCACACTCCAGGCATTTATAGGGTTTCTCCCCTGAGTGAAGCTTTCTATGGCCCCTGAGTGAACTATTATGTCTAAAGCTTCTCCCACACTCATGACATGTGTATGGTTTCTCCCCAGTGTGGATTCTCTTGTGGATACTAAGGTAACCACTTCTTCTGAAACTCATGTCGCACTCCGTGCACTTATAGGGTTTTTCTCCTGTGTGAATCCTTTTATGGATTGTCAGTTCTCTAGAATCACTGAAGCGTTTTCCACACTCCTGGCACTGATATGGTTTCTCCCCAGTGTGGGTCCTGCTGTGTACAATATAGCCATTTTTTGTATTGAAGCTCTTTCCACACGTACGGCATTCATATGGTTTATCCCCGGTGTGGAGTATTTTGTGGTGAGAGAGAGAACCCAAAACAGTGAAGCATTTGCCACATTCGATGCACTTATAAGGCTTTTCACCCATATGTGTCCTTTTATGGACAATAAGATTCTTTTGATTAGCAAAGCACTTCCCACACTCGGTACATTGATATGGCTTCTCTCCACTGTGGATTCTTCTATGGAAACTTAAGTGGCTGGATTTACAGAAGCTCTTACCACACTCCAGGCATTTGTATGGTTTCTCCCCTGTGTGGATCCGTTTGTGGGCATAAAGGCTGCTAGAATTGGTAAAGCACTTTCCACACTGTAGGCATTGAAATGGCTTCTCCCCTGTGTGGATTCTCTGATGGACAGTAAGATGACCAGATAAACGGAAGCTCTTTTCACACTCCATGCATTGAAATGGCTTTTCCCCTGTGTGAATCCTCTCGTGTGACTTAAGATGACCTTTTTGACTGAAATTCTTTCCACAGTGCAGGCATTTATAAGGTTTCTCCCCTTTATGCATCTTGTTATGTTTATTTAGCGTATCAAGTCTATTGAAGCTTTTTCCACACTCCAAGCATTCATATGGTTTCTCGCCTGTGTGAATCCTCTTATGGGAATTAAGGACACTGGAGGTCCTGAAGCATTTTCCACATTCTGTGCATTTATAAGGCTTCTCTCCAGTGTGGATCCTCTTATGTAAATTGAAGCTTCCTTTTTGGGTGAAGCTCTTTCCGCACACAGTGCAACGATATGGCTTTTCCCCTGTATGGATCCTATTATGGCAAGTGAGGTCACTTGCAGAGCGGAAGCTCTTCCCACATTCCAGGCATTTACATGACTTATTCCCAGTGGGGCTTTTTTTCTGGGAATTCGGTTTCTTGCTCTGAGTAAACCTCATTCTCCCCTCCCTGAGTTGATGCAACTTCTCCTCTCTGTGGAGGCTTTGATGGGAAGTAAGGGAGGCGCTGCTTTCGAAGGACTTTCCCCTATTAATCCATTGATGCTGCTTCCTCTCTTTATGGACCCTCTTATGTGAACTGAGATGATTTTTCTGCCTGAAAGTCCTTCCACAATCCAGACATTTGTGTGGATCCTCTGCTTTGTGAGTCTTTTTATGCAATGCAAGAGAGCGGCTTGTACTAAAGCTTTCTGCACACTCTGTACATTTGTACACTTCTCTTCCTTCTTGTATTATTTCATGTAAAGGAGGAGGAAGGGTCCTTCCAGAGTGTTGTCTGCTTTCATCTTGGTTCTCTCCAGAAAGGCTTTCACAACAGTCACATAATCCAGATTCATCTCGAAGTGTTTTCCCACACCTTGAACACACTTGTTTTTCTTGGCAATCATCTGTGTTCAATAAGACATTGGTATCTGCACAAGGTAAACCAGAGCAATTCTCCAGCTCAATTGTTAACAGGTTTTCCTCAGAACTTTGCTTTCCATCCATTTTTTCTGCAACTTCCCTTTTCTCTTTTGACAAAGGTGCTGCTGCCTCTTTGCCAGAATCCTCCATCTCCCATCCGTCACCTGCTTGCAACAGGAAAAAAAAAGGTTAACACAAACTTAGATGCAAAAGAGATCAAACATCATTGCTGTATATCAAACTTGCTCCAAACACACATTTGTTCAAAATATTGTGCTATGCAGCACAGGTTCGAATCCCAGTAAGGGTATGGCTAGCTGATGAGAGCTAAATAGCTTGAAATAGATCTATACTAGTCTCCCTTTATTTATTTATCAGCACAAATAAAACACACACACACACACACACATATATGTGTGTGTGTGTGTGTGTGTGTGTGT